ACCACAAAGGGATTATATTGGAAGGCCTCACAACACGAATCTTTTGGAAAGCACCAAGGCCTTACAGCCGGAATCCTTTGGAAAGTACAACACAGGGATTCTGCTGGAAAGCCTCACAGAAGGTATTTGTTGAAAAGCACACCAAAGGAGATTCGGTTGTCAGACCTCACAGCAGGAACAATTTTGGAAAGCACCACAAAAGAGATTGGATGGGAAAACCTCACACGAGAAATCCTTTGCGAGAGGCTCACAAAGAGATTCCTTATTGCTCCCTCATGGCTCGCTCCCTGCTCCCTCTATGCCCTCTCCCTTTCGTTCCCCCATTCCGTTCGCTGCCTCTTCCCCCTCCTCCTCCTTCCTGTCGCACCTCGAAACCAACTTTGAGGGTCGGCCGGGCGTTCCGCCTGAAACTTCCTCACAACTTATGACCCGGAAGCGCAAAAAACTGACAACAGCTTCACAGATGAAGGGCGGGTCGTTTTCAAAGTGCGACTCTAACCCTTAGCGCCGCGCAAATTGGTTTTACAAATGTGCAGCACTGCAAGTTTCACGGGTTGTGGCCGGGTGGTTTTCAAAATGTGGCTGTCGCGTTAGCGCCGCGCACGTTCGTTTTATAATTCTGCAAGAGTTTCACGGATTGAAGGCGGGTGGTTTTCAAAATGTGGCTCTCGGCCTAGCGCCGCGCACTTTCGTTTCAAAATTCGCAAGAGTTTCACGAATTGAGGGCGGGTCGTTTTCAAACTGCGGCTCTCTTCTTAGCGCCGCACACATTCGTTTTACAACGTTGTACAAATTTCACGGCAAAGAGTTTCACGGTTTCCCATGATCAGCCTACCAGAAAATGGCGTGTTGGAAGGATTCAAGCTTTTGACGGTCAACAGTTACGTTGATTCGCGGTGCTGAAGTCCCAGGAATTGCGTTCTGGCACGTTTCAGGGTCGGCAAGACGCAACAGTCAGGTTGATCCGTGGCGTTGGAATCCCGAGAACCATGTTTTGGCATGATCCAGGGTCTGCAAACGGTTGCCTTCCATTGGGGCAGATCCTCAATGGAAATGAACCACTGCAGGGGCCTGTGAAGAGGGAGCTTGGAGGGAGGTTTCTTCCAACATCGTTGATGATTCTTGGATTTACACTGGTCCTCCTCCTCCTTCTCCTCCTCCCGTTCCCACCAAAGCGCCACAAAGGGATTCGATTGTAAAGGCCTCACAAAAGGATCTGTCGGAAAGCACCACACACGGGATTCGATTGGAAGGCCTCACAACACGAATCCTTTGGAAAACACCACAAAGGAATTCTACCGGAAGGCCTCACAACAGGAATCCGTTGGAAAGCACCACAAAGGGATTATATCGGAAGGCCTCACAAAATGAATATGTTGGAAAGCATCACACGGGGATTATACTGGAAAGCCTCACCATAAAAATCCTTTGGGAAACACCACAAATGGATGATGCCGGAAAACCTCACAACCGGAATCCTTTGCGGGGGGCTCACAAAGGATTCCCTTACGGCTCCCTCCTGGCTCGCTCCCTGCTCCCTCCATGTCCTCTTCTTCTCGTCCCACCTTTCCGTTCGCTGCCTCCTCCTCCTACTATTCCGCCCTCCTCCTCCTCTGCCTCCGTTTCCGCCCTCCTCCTTCTCCTTTTCCTTCTCCTGTTCCTCCTCCTCCACCTCCTCCCTCTACAGGGAGCCCAAATGTTTGGGAAAAACTTTGAAAAGAAACAAACACAAACACACACACACACAAAGAGACTGAAGTAAAACCATCGGACAACAAAAAATCACTGAGAATGCGCGATTTCCCGTCGGACGTACATTTCCCTTCGGACGGGTTTCCCTGGGATCTTTGGTTGGTTTGTTTGTTGTTTTTTGTTCCATGGTTTTCCTGAAGCTTCTGCCTCCAGCACTTCACTTTCTTTGCTTGTTTGGGTTATTCCTTGTGTTTGTTGGCTGCCCACCGCCAACTTAAGGAATGTGTCTACTTCGCCCACACAGCGGAATCGGTGGCCCCCCCGCACAAGAACGCCGAGACGGAGGCTGAGGCAAAGTCTAGCGAGGGAAAAAGAGATGAGGGAAGGAACGGAGGACCGAAACGGTTCACCCCGAAGCCCCGAAGCCAAACCAAACCGAGCACGAGAAACTCAATCAAACGCGGGGTGCCGCGATGCCCCCCCAGCCCCGGATATGTTTCATGAGGACAAAAACACACAGACACAATGAATCGTCGATTCCCCAGGAAATATGGGAAAATATGGGAAGTGGGGGGGAAGACAAAAACCCAGAAAATATGGGAAAATATGGGGATTATGTTTGTTTGTGTGTATTCATTTGTGCGTCCTGGGGCCCCTTCATATGTGCACCCCTGCCCCCTCCCCCAGGGGGCGGCGGCGGCGAGGCGTGGCCGGGGTGGGCCCCACGGCCCAGATCCCGAGGCATCCGCGCAGACCTCCGACGGCTCACGTGCGCGGTGGGCTCGCGTGGCGTCGGCGCGCGCAACGCTGCGCACTCGACCATGCGCCCCGTGTTGCCCCGGATTCCGTGATAAAGTGAGGGGGGGTCACATTTGGGGAGGGGGTCTGATTTGAGGTGTCTTGGAGGGTTCGGGGGGGGACCTGTGCCATGGGCCGCCCTTTCATGGATGGTCTGGGGGGGTCTACAGTGTCTCGTCTGGGAGGGTTGTGACCCCCTCCCTCTTATTATGAAATCTGGAGTACCCATGTGCCTCGGGCGGTCTTTGGCGTGTTCTCTCGGCGGTCTTCCAGCGGCCTGCGGCGGTCTCCCGGCGGACTCCGGCGGCTTTCCGGCATTCCCTCGGCGGCTTCCCGGCGGTCGTCGGCGGTCTTCGGCGTGAAAGCTGGAGGCTTGCGTTCAACAAAGAGTCCATGATCGAACACCTACACCTAACGGTTTTTGACGCCGCGCCGATCGCTCACCCTTGAATCGATCGCGACCCCGACCGTTCAAGGCTGAATTCCGTCGGGTCCAGCGGCGTTACCGCGTCCCTCGGTGCTTTCGCGCCGCACAAGTTCAGCTTTGAACGCCTTCGCCGACGTCGCTGGCGCGCCGACGCCGCATGAAGCTACCGTACGGCAGGTTCGTGTCGTGCCGACTTCGGCGTTGGTTTCTGACACCGCGGGGATCGTTCAACCTTGAACGATCGACCCGAAGCGTCTGATCGTCCAATATCGACCGATCCTGGGTCGCCCGCGGCGTTCAACCGTGGACGCTGGCGGCGGGATCGCCGCCAGGCGCATTAGGGAGAGAAACAGGTACCCATACCGCTACTCCCCAGACCTCTCCCGGGGTGCGTTCTGACCAGAATTTCGAGGCGAATCCAGCGGTGGTGACGAGGGCCGCCCAGGAGGCCCAAAAACGGGAAAACAAGCGAGAGGGTAGAGATATGGGTACCTTTTCCTCCTCTGATGCATGCCGCTTTTGTTTTTCGCGCCTCCAGGTTCTTCTTGAGGACCTCCGCCTCCCACGCCTCCGAGTAGTGCGGCCGCATAGCCAGGGGCGACTCGAAGAGCGGCAAGGCGCCCAGCACGTTGAGCGCGGTACCGTCGCCGTCGAGGTCGTTCTCGTCGAAGTGATCGCGGTTGAGGTGCTTCGAATGGGCAGAGAAAGCCTATCGGGGGGGAGCCGACGAGCGCGCTTTCTAATTCGGGGCCATAACGTGCGAGGCGGGGATTTATCCATATCCATCGCCTGGGAACCGACGTCCTGGTGCCCCAGCGGGCGGTGGATCTGGATGTATTTTGGCCCCTGGGGGCCCGAATGTATCCATATCCGCCGCCTGCCGAGATCCCCGAAACTTGATCCTCCAGCCGATGGTCATGTACAAATTCCCGCCTCGGAATCACGGGCGTGATGGGGGGGGGACGGGAGGGCACAACGCAGAGCCCCCCCTTCCCCCCCCCAAGCCTGCGGTGCTGGACGCACTGCGGCAGCGCCGGGGATTACGCTTTGGGGGGGAGGGGTGGGGGGAGGGGGCATAGCGCGCGCTGTGGCTCAGAGGGGAAAAAACACTCTCGAGACGAGCGGGGGCCATGGCCGACAGCAGGTCCTGCGTATTTTGGACAATGCTCACTGTCGTCTCCAGGGCGTCCGCGGCCCCGATGCCGATCCTCCCTGGATCTCTCCCAGGGCGCGTTCCGCAGAGGATTCTGGGGCGAATACAACTGAGGCGACGGCGGCCCCGTAGTCTGCCCAAAAAGAATGAAAGCGAGAGAAGGGCATCAGTACTAACTACCTACCAGACCACCCCAAAACCCAACCCGAAGACCCGAATTTCGGGTTGGGGGGGTAAGGGTTCCACATGTGTTTGTTCGATGTTTCCCGACCCCCCCCCCCACTGGAAATCGAGGGTAAATCTGAGCCTTCGGGTTGGGTTGGGGTGGTTTGGTGGATGGTGAAGTACAGTAGGGTCCCGTCCACAGGAAACCTTCCACAAGAAACCCGACCCTGAGACCCCAGAACGTCCATCGATAGTCTTGCGTGGGACCGTCACGCTTTCTATGACGAAACCATCGACGCCCAAGAAACCCAGGGCACCCTGGAGGCAAGCAGGGTGCTTCCTGGCATGGGCCCCGTTTTGCAGCGGTGCGCCGTTCCCCTCCGAGTCGCTGCCGTCGGGCCGCGGTCCCCCTTTCGGTGCCGCCCCCGCTTCTGGCGTGCCCGGCCTCGATCCAGCCCGGCTCGATCTCCCCGGTCATCTCCATGGACTTCGCGGCCACCATGCTGCTGGCGCTGAGGCCGAGGTACACAGTCTTGTTGCTCCTCACGGCGTCCACGAGCCGCCCCGCGACGACCTGGTTGCACTGCCAGGCCATGTTGAGCATCACCACCTCGCCTCCCTGTCCGCAGATGAAGTCGGAACCGTCGATGTACTCGGTACACCACCTCAGTACAGTGGGGGCGTTGACCTAAGGAACCCTAGATAAGGAACGAGGCCCCTTTTTTTCCATAAGTTAACCTTCGATTTCCTGTCGAAAACATAAGGAAAACCCAAGGCAAGCTGTGAAACACTTAAGGAACGCGGAGCCCCTCCCCAACGAACAGGGTTCCTTCTTCAGGACCCCGACTGTAGAACCGGCCGAACCAGCCAGCCAACTGCACCAGTGTCTGCCCCAAACCCTCGATGCTCGCCCTGTTCGTCTTCGGTCGCACCCCCTCTGAGGAAAGTATATACTCTCTGACTGCCACGTGCAATCGGCACGGCCCCTAACACAGAAAGAGGAAGGAGAGGGCAAAATGGAGCGAACGAGAGAAGGAGGGAACGAGAAGGGCGGTGGGCAAGAGGGAGGGGGAGGTTTGAAGACAACAGACATTCTGCATGAGGGAGAGGAGAGAGGAGCGAAAGGACTGGCAGGCGGACCCTAACAGGCGGGTCGGGCGAGCGGAGCCACCGAGCGCGCCGGGCGGGCGGACAGACAGGGCAATGCAGCGGGCGGGCGGGCCTCTCAGCAGGCGAACGGGCGGACCCGAGCGCGCGGGTCGGGCGGCCGGACGGGCGGGTCGGGCGGGACATTACAGGGGGGCGGGCGCGCTTCCAAGCCGAGGGACCTGCGGACCTGAACGGGCGGGTCAGACGGGCGGACCCTCAGGGTCTGGTCGGGCGGTCGGGCCCTGATGGGCGGGTCGTTGAGGCGTGAGTCCTGACGGAATCGCGAGGAGGTCTCCGGGGAGAGCGCGCCTCCTAGGGAAGTGTTGAGGAAGTCCAGGGACAGCGTGATTCCCAAGTGTCAGTCAGTGAGTCTCAGGTCGGGCATGTCCCCCTACAGGCGGATTGTAGACGAACAATAGAAAATAGTCCTCCTAGAATATTCCTAGAATATTCCTAGAATAAACATGTTGAACATCCTAGAATGTTCCTCCTGTAAAGGGGCAAACCCGTCTTAAGGTCAGTCGGTGGAGCAGTGCGTCGGTCGGTCGGTCGGGCCAGGCGCCGAGCAGAGCGGCGCAGCGGCAGGGGGTCGCAACACAAAGCACGATGGGCTCACACGCCCCAGGAAAAAGAATGCCTATGCTTAAGTCGGGCCTGTCCCCCTACAGTCGGGGCCTTGACCTAAGGAACCCTAAATAAGGAACGAGGCCCCTTTTTGTCCATCAGTTAAAGTTCGACGTCCTATCGAAAACCAGGGGAAAACCTGAGGCAAGCTGTGAAACACTTAAGGAACGCGGAGCCCCTCCCCAACCAAAAAGGTTCCTTCTTCAGGGCCCCGACTGTATGTTTAAGTCGGGCCTGTCCCCCTACAGGAGGATTTTCGACGAAAAATTAAGAGTACCCCAACAATAGACAACATATGTACTCACAAGATGAAAAATACCCCAACAAATTCAATGGAAAGTGAAAAATACCCCCAAAAAAACCTCAAAATAGAAAATCCCCCTGTAGGGGGACAGGCCCGACTTAAGCCTATGTTGCCCCCGTCGTACTGAAGTGAATATCGTTTATCCGATCTCCATCCCCAGCGGCGTGGCCTGGGCCCCAATGGCCGATGTACCCCCCTAGATGGAAATATAAGCCGATATCAGCCGTCCCCTTCGGGTTTCGAGGGTTGTATCCCCAACTGGGGTGGTAATTTGGCGGGGGTCTCGAAAGAGATGAGGATGGGGATGGGGGTCGGACAAACGATACTGATTAAAGACCACATCCCAAAAATAATTTCGAGCACCCGGAAAAGTGTCGAAGCAGTGTCGAAACAGTTTCGGACGAGTGCCTCCCAGGGCCCGACACGTGGAAACCCTCGAGTTTCGGAATTTGTTGGTGATCCAAGTTTTTTCTGGTGGTCAAGGCTAAAGTAGGTTGGAACATCAAAAGACAATGCGACAAGGCTGAAGACCTACGCTCTGGGGAGGCCAGTCTGGTGCACGCGCAGTAGTCGCACGAGAGCCTGCACGCTTACCAGACGAGAACGCGAGGAGGTGGGTGGGGAAGGGGGTGAAGATGAGGCGAAGGACAAGGGAAGCGAGAGGGAGAGGCGAAATGCATGAATCCCACCAGCCCTCTGGGCATGACTGGTTTAGGGAGCTTCTTTTTTCAACCCCCCTTCTCCCAGTTCAAGGGGGATTTACCACTGCTCCCTATGAGAATACACACCCTACCCTGCGCAACCTGGATCACGCTTCCTTTCCCCAGGCCCACGCAACGGCGGAGTGGCGGCAGCGACTATCATAGAAGAAAAAATATGTTCCGATCGCTCGCTACCGAGAGCAATTAAGCCTCAAGCCAGATTGATGCACAACAGCCGCGTGTCGGGCAAAGCATTATGGGGAAACGATCTGGGAGAACAGAGGGGGCAAAATCCGCCGATGCGGCGTGTGATGGGACGCACAGAGGCATACTAATACTATATGTCCTCCTTGGAGGCGCGCGTCTGACCCGAACATCTAGTATACCCATCTTGTAGTACATCGTTTCCCGAGCGGTGCGGCCAGAAATCGCACGCCACGACGCACATGCCATAATATTTCTCGGTGCGCGCGTCGCCCCTGGGGGGGCGAGGCACATTTAGTACAAGTATGTTGGGGTGACGCCGAGGTGAGCTTCGAAGAGAGAGCCCAAGCTACAGCCTGCTGCTGGAGGAGGTGCCGGGGTGGCTCTGCCCAGGGAAAGGGGGGACGAGGGCTGCTCCGCCTGTGCTCCGCTTCTTCTGGGCGGGGCGGGGACGCGTAAAAATCCGCCGAGTTCCGACCTCCCCCTCCTCCTCCTCCTCCTCCTCCTCCTCCTCCTCCTCCTCCTCCTCCTCCTCCTCCTCCTCAGGGGCCAGAGAGCCCCAGATGGCCGCCAGATATTTGTCGGACGGCTCAAGATGCACCCAAGATGGCCCAGGATACCCTCCAAAAAAGGCCCGAAGAGGCCCGAATCATGGAGTCTACATGCTTTTGAAAGATTTGGGCGCTTCATTATTTTCGGCCTGCCGACGGCCCTAGAGGCCCCCAAGATCGCTCCAGAGGCCTCCAAGATGGCCCTATGACGGCCCAAGAGGCTCCTAAGACGGCCCCATGAAGGTCCCAGGGCGGCCCCGTGGGCCCCCGAGACGGCCAAGACAGCCTCCAAGACGGCCCTGAAGCGCCCACAGAGTGCCCCCAGACGGCACAGCGAGGCGCCCAAGACGGCTACCGACGGCGTCCAACGGGCCAGGAACGCCCTAAGACAGGCCAAAATGAAGGGGCCCTGGGACACACAAATAAATACACACAAATAAAAGGCTTCCCCATACTTCCCCATATGTTCTGGGTTTTTGTCTTCCCCCCCACTTCCCATAGTTTCCCATATTTTCCTGGGAATCGACGATTAATTGTGTCTGTGTGTGTGTGTTTTCCCCCTCCTGACTGAAGGCTGTCAAGAGATGCCTGCAAAAGGCTCGAAGGACCCCCTCGAGAGGCCCTCCCGCGACGGCCCCGGGAGGGCCCCAGGACGGCCCCATAGGCCTCCCAAAAGCGAGCCCGAACACCATCGGGAGCGCCCCAGATCGGCGGCACTGGCCGGAGGCCGCTTCAATGGCGCTGAAGACCACATCATCCACCCGACTGGTGACAACCCCAGGACTAGGGGGAAAACAAACCTACCTCGCTTTTGACCACCCTCGCTTCCAAGAGATACCAAACGATGCCAAATTGCAGCCTGTACTGGTCAGGCCGCTTGACGAGGAGGCGCGTGGTATGGCTTGGTTTTGCCTGGAAGCGAAAGCGGGGTAGGTAATTCACGCTCTGAAGGACAACGCGCCCCCCCCCGCCACCCCTGTCAAAAGACAGGACAGAGTGCACTTTGCGGCAGAATCTGGGCTCACGTCCGGGGTGGGCCGCGAGCACGTTGACCTGTGCCCAACCGTCCCGTGGTGCTGGGCCCCCGTTCTGAAGGGACAGCGCCCCGCGTCCGCTCCTCTCCTCTCCTCTCCTCCTCCCCCCCATCCCTCTGCCCATCCCTGCCTCGGCCATGCGCATGCCCATGTCTGACTACCTACCAGACCACCCCAACCCAACCCGAAGACACGAATTTGACCCGAAATTCGGGTCGGGGGGGTCACGGGGACCATGTGTTTTTTGGATGTTCCCCGATCCCCCCCCCAACTGGAAATGGAGGGCAAATTGAAGCCTTAGGAATGGGTTGGGGTGGTTTGGTTGGTGGTGAATGCCGGCATACCCCTCGCACACACCTCGCGGCCACAGACGGAGCTCGACCGCAAGCCCGTATGGCAGCGCGCCCGCACGGCCGCACCCCGCACCCCGCTCGGCCAAATCCTCGCGCGTCTCGCGGCCTCCTGCCGAGCTCCACCGAAGGCCCACCTCGCAGCGCCCGCCGGGCGGCACCGCGCCCCACTTCGGCACCCCCCCCTCGCGCGCTTCGCGGCCCCCGGTGGGGAGCTCCACAGCGAGAGGCCCGCGTCGCAGCGCGCCCACGCGGCGGCACACCGCGCCCCCTTCGGCGCACCCCTCGCGCGCTCCCTGGCCCCCCTGGCCGAGCTCCACCGAGAGCGCCCAGAAGGGCAGCGCCCGCGGGGCGCGGCACCGCACCCGGTGCCGCACACCCCCGACGAACACGCTCCGTTGCCCCCCCAGGGAGCTTCACCACAGGCCCGCATCGCAGCGCCTGCATGGCGGCACCACACATATCTCGGCACGCCCCTCACGCGCTATCGTGGCCCCATGGGGAGCTCCACCGAAGGCGAAAGAGGGCAGCGCCCACGTGGCGGCACCGCACCCCTTTCGGCACACCCCGCACACGCTTCGTGGCCCCACGGGGAGCTCCACTGGAGACGGCTCTCACAACGGCGGCACTTACAACTGCGCATCGTTGGGTTCTTCGCCAGGCGCATTTTGCCCCCAGCCATCCTTTCTTGCGTTGGGACCGCGTTTTGAATCAGCAGCGCCGGGCGCCTTCCATCCTTCCATCATTC